GGGGGGGGGTGGATATTGATTAATTGGTATCATCTTAGATCTAATACTTGTTTCTTTGTCTTGCTTTTGATTTTTTTTTTATACCCATTTACCTTCAATAGTCTCTAGAAGTCTCTATATTTGAGACTGAAGAAGGTGGGATCCCAGGGGTGTCAGAGATAAAAACAGCGAGATAATGACATCCATTATAGTATAGCAGGTGCCCACTGGTAGGATCGGATCGGGTCGAGTCTGGTCGATTAATCGCTAACTCATACGGGGTGCCCACTACGGATCAACGTGCCGATCGCCCGACTTGGTTGCCTCAACGTGCTTGTTTTCAGTTTCTGGCGATCGAGTCGGCCGATCGGCCCGATCCAGCCGTAGTGGGCACCTCGTATCATTATTGCAAAGTTCTATCTGATTTATTAATTTTAAGCGTTTTGGGTGCTAAGATATCAAATACCAAATATTCTAAGTGCTCTATCAAAATGGAAACATTATTCGGAGACGTTATCAAGATATTCAAAGAATTGCATTTGATTTGAAAAAGCTTGACTTGAAGTGAAACTGCAAATCTTTGATGTCAAATTTCTCAAAACTAGATACTGAGCAGATTCACCTTCACCTATCCCGAAGACTGGATGTCCGTCGGGGCGCTTTTGAAGTTGAAGATCTGACCACCAGCTTTCTCCACTCCTTCCGGTCTTCAGCTTTCCTGAGCGTGTCTTTGAGCAGACAGAACTTTGTAATTCCGAGGTAGCGTAATGGCGACTTCAGTCCACACCGAGGATACCGGAACTAAAGGAAATCTATTTGTGGATGCCTTGGTCCACACTACGAATTGTGCCAAAATGGTAGATGTTTGTCTCCATGAAGGAAACTCTGGCCAACCCCGACTGAACCAAATAAATACATGATTATCGGTGATAGTGGGTGCTCTGATGTGGTCAGCTCCTTCTTTCTTATCGAACATCTATCGTCCTTATTTCGCTCTTTTTTTATTTATTTATTAATTTATTTATTTGTTTATTTATTTATTTATGGTATGTTACACTATAGTAACACCTCTTATCTTCAGCATAAATTATAAATCTACTACGTAATTGTGTTGCAACTGCGTAAAACTTTTACTGAAAATGAAAGTATCAAATTGGCAGTGTGCAGTAGGTATTAGGGCCTGCCGTAATCAGAAGGCAAACCAAACACTTGACGTCACAATACGTAGAAGCCATCTGATTGGCTATTGCCATGATGTCATCGAACTGGAAGTGAATATGACTATGACCCATAAAATCACACACGTTTATTTTGGGCAAATTTGATCAAGTTGTTCCAAAATCGGCACGGGGAGGGGGGAGGGGGTGTTTTTGTTTTTGTTTTTGTTTTTACTCTCTGTATGAATGAAAAAACTACCCATCCCCATTCGTATCAAACCTTATCAAATTGAAATTTGACAAAACTTTGTACAATGTGCACAGGAAATGGAGATCAACGTTGACCGTTTAGAATATATCAACTCGCTCCTGGGTGATAGACATGGGCAGTGGTTCAAATGTCAAACAGTTAAGGCTGCTTTAAAAAGGCTTTGTCACTATAATGTCAATGTTAATTCATGTTTTTAAATGCCATCATTTTAGAGTGCTGGATCTGAAACATACATCGACGACCATAGTATCTGATTATATGAACACCAGAGATGATGAACACACACACACGCACGCGCGCACACACACACACACACACACACACACACACACACACACACACACACACACACACACACACACAAATTACACACGTGCATTCATTTCTTCACTTGGGTGTGACCAATAAAGCCACAATCCTGGTGTTTCCCTGTCACCCATCTGTTCAGTTTTTCCAAGTATGCTTCTCAGGTTCCACCAAAGCCTCGTTTGTACATGTATTATATTTTTCTAATGAGAGAAAGATGTTCAAAGCTTTTATGTCGGTTGAAGTGTTATAGGAATGCGTCGTTTTCTAATTGCTTTTATTAGTGAGTGGCCAGCGTTTTTAAGCGTAGATCAGGTTTAATGTTAGCGTGCGTATGTGTAAGTGTGTGCATATTATGTGTGTATATGTGTGTGTGTGTGTGTG